ATGAATTCATTTTTCCAAACTGAACCTTAACCTCTACACAAGACAGTTTGGGATTTTCAGATTGTCGCTTTATGTTTTTTGTTCCAGCTGACAGGCCTGGTGGATGCTGGTCTCAAGGACATGATCCAACAGTACAATAATACAGAATACAAGAAAGGTCTGGACCAAATTCAGAAAGAGGTTTGTGTTCCACATTTTTACAGCAATTAGCTGTGACCTTTGCTTTGTTTCAGTGGACATTAGTGTATTGCCTTCTCTAATGTCTTCTCAAATAGAAAAGTGGGTGTATATCGTAAGTTTTCTTCTGGATGTTAGTACTAATGAGGCACTGAAACAAAAACTTTTAACAGATATCGTCAAAAAGTGAAAAGCTGACAATAAATAATAGCAGTTTACAAAAAAATAATGTTATTATTACATATTAATTATTACAGCATGTTGGCTACATTACGTGCCATAAAATCAAATGTCCTCAACCAAAGAACGTCGTCCAATAAAACTTGATAAATTATGAATTGTTAGTTATACTTTCCCCGTGAAACTGTTGTTTATTTTCGTTCATTATTCAATTTTATTATTGTTTGTATCATTTCAAAAAAGTCCCTGCAGCGACTGACATAATCTGTAGCCACAGGGAGCATCAGTTGTCTTAGGGACTTTCCTTTCTGCTTCTGTTGTTTTGTTGTATCATGCATATCGAGCGGGAGATCGTGTTTTGGTTCAGAGGTATCAAACTTGTAATGGAGAAGTTCTCAGCATTACCAGAGATCATAAATCTCTTGTCTAGCGTTCCTCGTAGAAACCGTAAAATGGTTCCACACAGCCGATGTGTTCTCTGTTTATCTAATGCTGCTTAAACTGTTTAAACACGTCTCTGTGCAGGAGAATGAAAGGCAAAACCAGAATTTTCAGTGACTATTTCTCATTTTTATTACCTTTAAAATTACTTATAAAATCACTTCGTGGTAGGCCTATTCTGAAGTTTTTTTTGTTTTTAATTTTAGACTGACTATACAATTTAAGTAACAGGAGAATTGAGGAATACTTTAAATGTCAAAAAACAACAACAAAAAAAACAACACAAAAAAGAAGTGCAGGAAAATATCTGTGGCCAAGACACTCTGTCTTCTCAAGCTTATGTGTTTGTCAAGTGTCATCTGTTGACATTCACATCCTGATTTCTATCATCCGTTTCATACAGCCTAAACTTTATGCCCTGCCCACTGCTGAGGTGTTTTAAGGAGTGTTTTTTCTTGAACAAGCTTTCTGGATGAGTTTTACCAGAAGAGGTTCTGTGGTGTACTTTGTAAGGGATTTGACTGACCGATTCGTATGGGATAAATTTGTGCGTAATTTCCCCAAAATTACTTAGTTAAGCGTATCACAGATGGTCATTCAGTGTGGAATTATTACTGTAAGACTACTAAGAGACTATTACTGCAAAAATTGCAGATGTTGCAGATAAAACAAATCCAGCTCCAATAAGGCTTAGGTTCTCTGTAAGAATACCAAGAACTGAAAAAATCAGATTAGCCCACATGGATTTTGGTCATTACTGAATACATTTTATTCAAGTGTCTTCATAAACCATTAAAATCAGTGTAGCCTGTTTAAACTGCCTCCTTGATCACTAGCTTTGTGTAGCTCATTATGCATCAGTGCATTAGGGGACACAGTACTTTCATTTATTTCATAGCTATCCAGACAGGGGTGGGTAGTATCTAGTTGCATTTACTCAGTTCCAAGTACATTTTTGATAGACATCTATTACAGTTACTCAGAACTTGAGTAGTTTTGGCCTGCTGCTGTAAAACCATAAAATATTGTCTTTTCTGTGTATGTAGCTGAAATGCTGTGGTGCAGCGAACGCTACGGACTGGGTGAAATACAAACCAGATGGCCTCTCTGTCCCAGACTCCTGCTGCAAAAACATCACTTTGAACTGTGGTTTGAAAGCCATGAATGACACCAGCAAAATCTATACAAATGTAAGATCTATTGCAGAATAACTCTCTTTCCTGTGAAGCATTGCTTAACAAAATATTGCAAAACTTTCCTCTTATATTCTCTCTGTTTATCGTTATTATTATTGATTATTTAAGTAGTTATGTGAGGATTTGCATTCAATTTACATTGTGTAGCAGCAGGTTTGAGACTGCACTCCTTACATCTTTGTTTGTTCAAACAAAGACAAACACAAAAAAGACAACCAGTGACAAACACAAAATGTAATGAATGGCTTTTCTTTACAAAAAACAAGATCGTATCATAGCTGAGACTAATCTTACCTTTGCTTCAGTCTCACAGCCATGTATCTATATCTTATAGACACTAGCCACCTACCTTGTATTTACAATCATTGTTCATTTTATCAGTATCAGGTCCACTTTCCATTTAGCTGCCATTTCCAGTTCTACAATTACAGATAGTAGTCCATCTGTTTCTCTCTCTAATTTAGTGGCCTTTCTTAACCTGGTTCATCAGTGGTCAGGCCCCCCACTTATCAAGTGTTTTTTGGGTGATGGATCATTCTCAGCACTGCAGTGACACTGACAAGTACTCTACAAGTGCATCAGAAACAGCGGTGTACACTTATTTTCCACTCTATTAGACACACCTACCTTGTAGATGTAAAGTTAGAGACAATAGCTCATCTGTTGCTGCACAGTTTGTGTTAGTCATCCTCTAGTGTTCCAGACGGGATTTCGTAATGAAAACATCTGGGGTGAAACATGAGTAAGTGGGTGGAAACAAATTTAGTGTGAAATTTCCACACCAGTCCTACACTTTATGAAGGCAGAGTTCCGAAGGGGGCAGTGGTGTGCTTGTCAACATCGTTCAACAGAGAACAAGTTTTTCACCTTTTATGCAGACAGCAGTGACCCAAGTCCCATTCACACCAGAAGGATATTTCACTAAATATGAATTTTCTAATGAGCCAATTTTAAGAAACAGCAGTTTTGTTTGGGGTCTGGTCAGCCAGGTGCCGGGACTTACTGCACAGTCTGCTGTTGGTTCCCCTGTAAACAGGGAAAGGGGTGAAGTTGATGACCCGAAACTCATGCTGACAGGAACTGTAACACTTTTGACCAGTTCTGCTATCTTGATTTACCTTATATTGATTTTGCCTTTTACTCCGGCCCTTAAAAGAGCACAGGCTAGAAGATTTTAGGGGTGGGAGAACAACCATCCACTTTTGTTTACAGTGGATTTCATTGCAGTCCAGCACCAGAAGTTGAACAAGTTGTCCCCAGTTGTCTGTTCTCGTTATGAGAGGACGTCTGGCCCCGCAAGACTAGTTATCCTCTAGTTTTTCGTCAGAGGTCAGTGTCAGGTCACAGGATGCTGTTGGCAGGATATTTTTGGTTGATGGACTGTTTAGTCCTGCAGTGACACGGGGGGTGTTTAAACTGTTGGAAATGATCCACCACCCAAATCAGTGGTGGTCTTGTGTCCTGACCATTGACTTCCCCATAACCTACTCTCAAGGAAATTCTGTTTATTTTATCTTATTTACATACATACATACATCATCTAAACGGCTTATGCTTCTGGGTTTTATCTTATTTGTTAATTATTATATTAGGATTCAGTTGACAGGTTTGTTTTACACATGACTTTTCATTAAAAATAAAACCATGTTAAAATCTTTTCTACCTCTAAACACAAATGTAGTATTGATCTAGTTTAAAATCTGCATGTTTGACAGCAATTCTCTGCTTGTTTCCTATGAATAAAAAAAATAATTACAACATGCTTTTGCTAACGGCAGCTATAACTCTGCCTTCTAATGGTTAACTGTAGGTGTATGTTGTGTAATAACTGCATACTAACTGCTCTGTCTCTGTGTTTGGCATGTAGGGTTGTCAGTCTGCTCTTGAGAACCTCCTGAAGGCCAACACTCTGTGGATTGCAGTAGCAGCTCTGGTCATTGCATTCATAGAGGTAGGTGGGAGTTTAGGGCACAGTCTAACTTGTGGTAAAATGGTACATGAATATTTTATGTAGTTAAGCAGGTTCAAGTAGAACGTGCTTTTGGTCATCTTCACACGTTTTACGTGTTTCCATAGCAACATTGACTATTTTTCTACCGTTTTGTATCAACCTCCACAAGTGGGATCGTCTTTTATCCAAACCAGTTCACCATGACCACATCCCCCTCACCACCACAACACAGTGTTGCAATTAAGCCCCCCCCCCAATAAACAAAGAGAAGTCTAGAACTCTCCATAAAAATTCAAAACAGTTCAGTTTCTAGAGGTTTTATGCACAGAATGTACCATATATATCATGTAAATAAGCTATATTTCAGTTTTATTGTGGTGATATATTTGGGAAAAATAATTTTTGACACTTTATATATTTAAGTATTTAGGAAAGCTTGTTACCAGAACATAAAACTGTATTGAATTAATTCCACTTTATTAATTTATTTATTGATTTACATACTTTTTAGGGACTGTTACAACTAGCCCCTCAGTCTGTTACCATTAGCATACAATGTTTACAGTTTCATTGTGGCAGAGATATTTAGGTTCTTTGCATAAAAATGGATCTTGCTGATCTTTTTTTTTTAGTAAAGAACATAATGTGTCCACTGTCCCCTCTTATCTGTTTCTCACAGATACTTGCCTGTTTTTTCGTTCTCTCTCTCTTTAGATCCTGGGCCTTGTGTTTGCCTGTACACTGATGAGAGGCATTCGTAGCGGCTACGAGGTGATGTGATCACATCCTACAGGACTTTAATTGGCAACCAGAAAAATATACATCAGTTTCACACTCAAGGGGCTTAAAGACTTATTATTTTGTAAATGCCTGTCCTTGTTTTGTTTGTTTAGCTAAAGTAAAATTTTTATAACTGTCTTACTGCAGACAAATGTGCCTAATTGCTGATAGAGAGCAGATTGATATCAGTCTATATTTTTAATCATAGAAGACAGAAAAAGGTAGAGGTAAAGTACTATCACTGTTTGTTTCATTCAATTCTTGTGTATTTGTACTTGTTTAGTTCCCTTTGTAAACATCTTCTTTTAGAGAGCTGATTATGACTTTTATACTTCAATCTAAACTCCCAGGCCTCTCATAAATGAATAGCTGAAAAAGCACAGTTTTATTCTCAACATTACAGGTGGTTCAAATGTTCAAATGCTTAACATATTTTGGAAATAGAAATAAACTTCTGTGGTTTTCTCCCAACATCAAAGCATCCATTTTCTTCTAGTGTTGTTTCCACACAGACACTTCAGATGTCCCTCTCATTCCTTTCATTAAAAACAAGACTGTATTGTCTAGACCTGGCTGTTTTCATAGTATTACATTTCCATACCTTTTTTTCAAAGTGAAGACAGTGAACAGGCCATAATGTAATGGCAGTTTATTTCTCATCTTACTGGAGAGATCTTTCCAGTTACTCCACATACTGTAACTGCATGTTGACTTCAGTGGGGAAAATAAAACACAGTGAATTGTAGAGGTGAAAAGAGTAATACAACACTGGAATACTCCAGTGTTTTTCAACCTTATCTCCATCTGCTGCATCTGTAGCACATGGTTCATTACCATATACAATAATTTCCCTGTACTTAGAAAAGAACAGAAAATCCATTGACCCAAAATGCTATTATAATAATAATATTATAATAATATTATAATAGTACACAAAGCACCTACCCACTCACTTTAGGGAGTACACAGATAAAGGAATTGTAAGACAACATTCAATATCTTTTATGTATGTCTGCTAATAGCAATACATCAACATTTAGGAACTGTATAAATTGGCACTAAATCCACTTGGATTATCGGTTTGGAGAAATATAACATTTCTGTAGAACATCTATTGCAGTAAAATATATAAAATAGAGATATTTTAGCACAGTAGTCCAGCATCGCCTAAACATTCTGCTCTTCATGAGCAAATCCGCAAATACTGGTTTGAAATATCGGTCAAATCTAAGCGTCTGTCAAATGCTGATATTGTTTTTAAGCACATATCTGCCTCTTTTCTGTTGTTTTACTAAGTACATGGTAATTGATCATTTGTTACAGATGTGGAAAACAGAGATCAAGTTGAAAAACACAGGATTAATCCTTAAATACAGCAGAGGTATTTGGCAACATGAGTCTATATTAGCACTGACATTGCAACTTTTTTGCACCAAGGCACTCTTCAACCAATATGTCGTGAATTTCAGTTAATAAATCCACATCAAAGCATTATAATCAGATGTGTTTCAGTAAGGACTAAGGCTTTCAAATATTTTTCCTCTCAAGTAACTTTCCTGTGTTCCGTAGAGTATATATTATGACAAAACAGTCATCTCTGTCTTATTTACATATATTGGGGCCAACAGCATTCTGACCATGCATTTAGACATGTTCATATATATATAAGAAGATATAGATATACTATAGAAATGCAAGCCTGTGTGCTCAGTGCAGATGAACATGGCCTCTCCAGCAGTAAGCTATCAAAAGGATTTGAATTTACTGTTTTCAACACTCACCACAGGAGGGAAGTGACAAAAAAAGGAAGTTAGCACAAGTCAAAACATAAAGCTACAGAAAGTTAGTGATCCCTCATGCTGGAGGTATATTAGGTGGAATAACCCAAACGTGTAAACATGTCACCAAAAGGGCCAGCAAGACAGTTACATCAGCTATTAGATGTATAGCCATAATCTCAGTACAGGTAATCAGAACATGCTGCAGTGTTTTATCTTGCTGTAGAGGCCCAGCATCCTTTTCAAATGTGGAATGAATCCAGTTGTTCTATTTACTGTAGCCTAATTGTGTTTTCTTCCTGTTGCAAAACCATTTCCACTTCTTTCTAATCTCGGTTCTCAATTAAATAAAAGTGGACAGTCTGCCCCACCCCCTAATAATCTAAAAATATCAAAATTAGGGCCACTTCCTACCAACACTGGAGCACTTTTTCATTTTCCACTCAACACTGTGATAAACTCAAAACCATGAAGGGCTGCACTATTCAATTTTGATATTGGCCTGACAGCTCTCTGATAACAGCAGCTATCCACTTCCACTGCCCCTTTTTGGGTTGTTTTGTGGTTACTCTTGATGACAGTCTCTAATGGTCAGTGGTGACTGGTCAGCTGCGTGGTGGCTTTGGGTAGTTTACCGTCAGTAGCACCATACTGTGCAAATACAGGGATGTCTCTGATTCTGTGTGGAGTGAATTGAGGAAGGAAAAAAGAAAGAATGCCAGTGAGTAGGCAATCATGACTGGTTAACTGCCAGCCCAACGGTCAACCACAGTATAACAATGACCTGGACTCTATGTGTTGCAAAGAAAGATGAGGCAATCTTCAGTTGCAAAAAGTGCATCTCATATTTGCAGGATTTTTTATTTACTAAGAGGCTAATATAGCTATTCTGCATAAGAAAGCTGTAAAATGCAGAATGCTATATTAGTCTCAGACACTGAAGAATGCCTCATCTTTCTTTTATTTTGTACCTCACTCACCTTTAAGGTATGTTGAAAACTGCAGCCATTGGGTAAGCCATTCCCGGCACTGAGCAAGGCTCAGACGCTCTACATTCAGCCCTCGCACGTAACATGCCTGAAAACAGAGGTCATACGATCAAACCTGATCAAACTTGAAAACACTTAAAAATGGTGCATTATAAAGATATCAGAATCAATTTTTCACTAAGAATGTGCATGCTTGTATGATATGTAACATGCTAAACATATATTCCAAGAAAATATGACGTTTAACTAATGGAATGAAATAAAAATAAGAGAGTAGACATAAAAGAGCTAATATGAACAGAGACAAAAGAGAGGAGGAATAAAACAAACTACATAAATCATTTACAGTATTATTTACAGTTAACAATTATTTACAGTATATTTTTCCAGGTTGACAAAGTTGTCAGGAGAATAAAAAACAAATTTTAGTGTGTGTTAATGTAACAAGATTTTATTTAGTGTTCAGAAATCTGAAAAAAAAAATAAAGTTTACAAGATTTTCTTATGGCAGTGATAAGTGTCATACAATAAATGGCACTTAAATCATAAACACCTACAGTATACAGGACAGCAAATTGTTTTAGTTGTTTTAAGCGTCAATGGCTTAAAATATAAGACAGCATCTCAAACCTCTCTGAGCTCCATATCGTTCAGCTGGTGGAGGCCCAGGCGGACAATGGCACGATCCAGCTGCATGAGCTCTAAGGCGTGGCTATTCAGGCGCCGACCAATCCAGAAGGCAGGAAGGCGGGGCGTCAGGAAGAGCAGTGGACAGAGATGTCTCTGAGAGCAAAAAGATACAAGCACAGATCAACTCTACAGTCAGAAATATATTCTGTAGACTGAAACATGACACCAGTTAACTGGAGCACTATAGTGATTTATAGCAGGGGTCACCAACCCTGATCCTGGAGATCTATCTACCTGCACAGTTTAGCTCCTGCTTGCAGCATAGTGCCCCCTTCAGATTCAGCCAAAAAATGACTAATTCAGATATTTAGCTGGATCAGACTATGGTCGGAACTTGACTCAGCAGAAAGGCTGATCTCCAGGACCAGTTTTGGTGACCACTAATTTATACTTAATAGTTCAAAATATACACAATTTCACCCTTAGCCCAAATTTTGGTGTCCAAAATATGCTGCTTAAGCTTTGCACAGGACCTACCAATTAACATTGTACTAACTGCACGCATAAATCATCAAGCGCTTGCCTCAAAAAGTCAAGCTGTTAAGCGACCTCATATGGATTTTCTTATGTGTCTCACACCATGTAACACAGTTATATATAAAAATGGACAAAAGTATGGAAAACAATCATGATCTCTAAATAACTGATCTGAACACGCTGCAGTGTTGTATCTTGGTGTAGAGGCCCACCGTCGTTTTCAAATATGGAACGAATCCAGTTGTTCCATTTACTGTAGCTTACTAGTGTTTCCTTCCTGTTGCCACATCATTTCCACTTTCTTATAGTCTCCGTTCTCAAGTAAACAGAAGTGGTACTGTCCGCACCACCAACTAATCTTAAAATATCAAAATTAGTGCCACTTCAAATTGATGTTGCTGCTGTTTTCAACTACACAACGTACTGCTGTCTATTTTTATACTTAACAGTCCAGTTCAAACCAAACCACCACTTTAACTAGGTATGCACTGATATGGTAATTGTGGGCCGACATCTGATTTTTCTTGTATATGTCTGCTGATGCTGATACATAAACATTAATAAAATATAGAAAGTGGGACTACAACTAACTGGATTATGCTGCATTTACATGATGACAGTACACGATCAACAGCAAAACAGATATTCCACTGTTCGCAATGGAGCAGCAACAGAAAACTGCATCACTGATGGTGATGATGGCAGCGTACCGCAGTGCTCAGTGGAACACTCCATTGAGAGTTCTATTTTCCAGCCTTTTGCTGTCAATTCTAGGGGTGTAGCTAAGACTTTTAGATATGGGATGAGCAGGTGAGACCCAGAGATTTCTATTTAGCTGGCACACAGCTAAGAAAGAAAAACTAAATAAAGTAGCATTACTGTATTAAAACGACATTCAAAGTTATGCGCTGGTGTTTGTACGTAAATATCTGTCCATTATTTCCCAATGAATGATGCTTTATTGAAGTTGGCTGACTGATGGTGGTTGACTGTTTCACTTTCCATAATTGGGGTAACCCCTTGGTTACGCCTCTGCAGTGATTTTTTTGGTAGCTACAGATCCAAAACGTGTCCTTGTTGAAGTCCAGTATTATACAATAAAAAGTATAAGGGTATAGAGCATCCTCCAGCCTTATTTGCCCTGATATAAACAATCGACACCGCTAAAGCTATTCTATAGTAATTACCCATTTTAGCTGAAGTCACTGTCACTATGGTAACATTTACATGGTTGCATGCCAGCGTCGATCATCGCCAACATGTAAGCATGTAATATAGGGTGATGCAAAAAGATTCATACAATTTCAAAGTGCCATATTTTTACAACCGTGAGGTGCCTAGGAACCAATCACATACCAACTGAAAGAGGGGGTTATAGATTTTCTGACTGTCACCAGAAGATGGCTCCCTTCAGTCTGCGAAGAGATGACAACCCCTGAGCAGAAAGCGTTTTGCGTTCTCCACTTCGATCAGAGTGAATTCGTCATAACTGTGCAACATGATTTTCGTCGGCAGTGAACCTCCAACAGCTCAGAGCGTTCGTCGTTGGTTCCACAACACTGGATGATCTCCGAAATTGCATTGAGGGAGTCGTGGGTACATTGACACCCGGCATGCTCAATCGAGTATGGGATGAATTTGACTATGGCGTTGTCCATACAGCTGGAGGAGGTTCATACTGAGCACTTGTAAAATTACATAATGAACTTTATGCTCAATTAAATCATTTATAATTTACTGCAATGTTCTGTAATGATTTTCAAGTGAAATGAATCATTTTGAAATCATGATGAATCTTTTTGAAGTATTTCTCCTTAATGCTCTTACATTTAAGTACAGTATTGCAGTGGGCCATAACCTCTTCTAGAGTACAATTAATACATCATCAAATATCAGTCAAGTCTTGAATATCAGTCAAGTCTAAAGATCTGTCAGATATTTTTTTAAAGCAAATATCTGCAGATACCAGATTGATTCTCATATCATCATGCAACCCTACCTTTAACCAAGTCAGTGCTAATGTCATCATACCATTTGATCTGCGTACATCCTCCTGATTCCTAGTGGAGGGCCAGAGAATAAGGTCCTTACAGCATGAACATCAGATACAACAGGGTGAGCACCGCCTTGGACCTGTAAACACACAAAAACATTCTTATGAAGCAAATTACCAAGAAAATGAACATATAGGTAATAAGGTCTGGAAAGTACATCACCATGGGTATTATACATTTTTGATGTACCTCAACCATTTTAGTTAACCCCTTAAAACCACTGGGTCCATATTTTAGTTCCTCAGTCTCTTAACTATGTACATGATACATCAGCGTAATAGTACTTTCTGAATAAGTTGTAAGATCCCTTAGAATTAAACAGGCTATTTTAGTTACGGTGTCTTTAGGAATGATTTGTAAATGAGCTGTCCTGTATTGTGCTTATTCAAAAAGCAGGCTGAAACACTCCGTATAACTTCAGTTGGGTGGAGCTAAACTGCTATAGGCTTAATAGGTGTATACATGCAAAAGAGCTGGTTCTAATGGCATCACAGAAACAATTAATTCAAAATGGGATGTTTTTGCAGCACAGTTTCCATACATGGACTGTATAAACTGGGTAGTGAACGTTTTCAAACTTTAACAGTGTTTACATGTTACTTCCTCCTTTATTTAAAAAAGTCGAGAGAATTTTGGTTTTCCATAATATGGGCCCTTTAACTGAATAATAAATGAAGAGTTCAAGAGCGTAACTGCTACAACGGTAGGCTGATTGATTTGTCACCAAATACAGATCACTACTTTTCTTGGTCAGTAAAAGCAGTAGGACTAAAGGTTGAGACTTACTTTCCTACAGAGGTTTACGAGGTGGCTCTGCAGCCGGTGGTCTTGGACACTCGATACTGTCCTCTCCAGCCCATCGAGTATGGCCCGGTGGTGCTGTGCCCTCTGCATGTGGTATACTGCCTGAAACTCCAGCAGCTGCTGCTGTGTCCAGAAGTGGCGAATCAGGAGCTGGCGGGGAAAAAGGTACCTGATAATAGGAGTGGAGGGGAGAAGGAGAGGAGTGGGATGAGTGCAGGATGGATGGATGTGTGGATGTGTGAGGAAATTACAGAGATTACGAGAGTATTGGAAACACGGATGATGAGGGGCCAAGAAAGAAGAGCCAATACCAGACAAAGGAGCAAAAGAACATTATCACACACTCTCATGGTACGGTTTCATAATGGAATATTTACAAACAAAAAGTTTTACTTGTGTCTTTGCTTTGTGGTATTAAACCTTACATTTCACAAGTATTGCCAGCAATAACAAAAGTATGTTGTAATTTGACAACCGTAGCTCACTTGTAGCTCATTCAATCTATACCACATTTGTAATTGTAGAAGAGGAGATATTTTTTGATTTTAATTTGATGAAATGTTATTGGTGTGTGTTGTGAGTCTTGCTTTGCAGAAAAAAAAACATTTTCTTTACATTTCTGCCACATCTTTCTCATTTCTCACTGAAAAACAGAAAGATGTCAGAAGTGCAAACCTGGGACTGTTGATTCAGAACGTAATTGAAATATAAATGTAATTCACCACAGACCTACCTATGGAATTTGGATAGTACTTTAAAATGACGGTAGACTTCTAAGGGTTTACAACAATACACTCTGAGTTAACCTTACACTGTGTGATGGATGTTAAGCACTTACACTGTGTGATGGATGTTAAGGGGAATTCCACAGATTTTTCAAAAGGTCTACATAATTAAATGGTTACGATATCAACAAATCTACTGAGTCAGAATTCTTCACAGTGGTGGTGATAGGAACTAGACATCTGAGAGCTTAACGCCTCTAAAAGCCCTTCCTTCACAGGACGTTGTAACATAAAATGGTAATAAATACACTACCTGGTGCCTGAGACATTGTTTTACACTAGTTTTGTGACAAATTTTCATCTAAAAAGTAAATTAACTAAAAAAGTCCATTAATGGCAGAGCGGGACACGTAGGGCGTTGTAAGGTAATTTAGTTCCCAAAGAAAACTTTTTTTTTCAGATTTACCATTATTAACATTGCATATAAAAACAATAGAAATAGGTCCCACTTGTCATTTTGGTTTCTGAATAAAATGGCTATATTTGCAGTATAGACATTGTGACCTCTGGTTTCTATCACCATCACTGTAAAGAAATGAGTCAAGTTTCTCTACAACTAACCATTTCACATCAAACCACTCTGAATGACTTCATTCACTTCTCAGTGATTTGAGATCAATATCCATCCATCCATCCATCATCTAAACCACTTATCCTTCTGGGTCGCGGTGGGGTGCTGGAGCCTATCCCAGCTGTCATTGGGCGGAGGGCAGGATACACCCTGGACAGGTCGCCAGTCTATCGCAGGGCAGACAGACAGACATACACATTCACACACTCACTCACACCTAGGGGCAATTTAGCATATCCAATTAGCTTAACTGCATGTTTTTGGACTGTGGGAGGAAACCGGAGTACCTGGAGGAAACCCACGCAGACACGGGGAGAACATGCAAACTCCACACAGAAATGACCCTGGTCACCCAGCCGGGAATCGAACCCAGGCCATTCTCGCTGTGAGGCAACAGCGCTACCCACTGCGCCACCGTGCTGCCCCTGAGATCAATATGTATATGTAATTATACAGAAATTTTGAAATATTGGTGGAACTTTCCTTTCACATAGTTCAGCCCTCCCTTATGTGGAAACTGTTCTAGTAAACAGAAGTGCTGTAATGTAAGTGGTTGCTGGCTTTTCATGTGGTCAATTACTCATATTCTCCTCGTCCTGCAAGTTAAGGCTTGTGTTTTGCTCTTTGCATTTTATAGACAAGGAAATGAAGCAACAGAAAGGCTGACAGCTAATTAGCCAGTCTAACACCCAGCTATTACAGCCACATTGAGTAAAACTGCCTGGCTAATAGCTCACTTGGATCATTGCAAGTAAACTTTAAGGGGAGCAGAAGGTGCACTGCACCCCCTACTGGCCGGAGCTGAAATTGCTTTAGCGTGTAAACATTTTGTTTTACAATTAAAAAGAACAAAATGTGAAAAGAACACAATGTCTCATTTTTGTATTTGCGCTGGTAAGTGGGTTTATGGGAAAAATCATTTGTGCAATTATTAATAATCTTAAAACTTTGTGGGTTTATTTTTGTGCCCTTTTCCTATTTAGCTACACTCTTAAAAAAGATGGTGCTTCCAGGGTTCTTTAGGTAAGAAAAAAGTTCTATATAGAACCATGAACACTCAAGAAACCCTTTGCATGATTAAAGGTTTGTTTGCATCATAAAAGCGTTCTTCAGATTGATGGAGAATGTGCTGTAGATGGTTTTATATAGAACCTTTTGGGAGACGGTTCTTTAGAGCATCCAACGGTGCCAAGCTTTTAGCAATAAAAGAACCTATAGATAAAAGATTACATATCCATGCACATTTTCCATCAATCTGAAGAACGCTTTCATGATACAAAGAACCCTTTAATCATGCAAAGGGTTGTCTGAGTGTTCATGGTTCTAAATAGAACCATTTTCTTTATTAAAGATCCGTTGAAAAACCATCCTTTTTAAGAGTGTAGGTGACTAGCTAGCTAACTAAAAACAAAGGATTTTCACTGAACACAAATAGGTTGCCTCTGGTATAAAGTAAAAGCACAATGCAGAATGTCTTTAAATGCAACATGAACAGTACTGGTATTACTTTATATCGGTAGGCTGTGTGAACCATGCGTGACCTATGTGGTCCTGTGTGCATCAAAGATATAAACTCAGAAAGGGAAGCCAAAATTCAACTCAGAAAAGGAAATTTATCAGTAAATGGTCTTGTTTGAGCATAATACATGTTGTAACTGCCTCCACTCAGACGCTGTATGAATTCAACATGGTCACTGTAAAGTGATGCAATATAAAGGAGAGTCTAGCCTGGTAACACCCTGCATTAAAGGGGAATTCCACCAACCTGCATGATTAAATGGTTAAGATGCGAAAAAATTATTTGCATTGGTCTGGTGTAAAACGGGATATGGTGGTGATGGGAAATAAGATGGCTACAGGAAATTGTGAGAGTAATTTCCAAGGGAGGTGCTTTGCATCTTTACAAAAGCCAAATTGTGAGATTCCCTTCTCTCCAATTTCTCTCTGTGTTCAGTTTAACTGTGCACTGCTCTGTGTACGCAGAGCTAACCTGTTCAATACTTACATAAGAACAAAGACTAAGTAGTTGGCAAATGGAGGTATTGAGATGATCACCAGAGGAATGGCTTTGATCACATCTCTACGAACCTGTGAAAAGAAGGAGGAATATATTATTTAGAGACACAGTTGTATGGAAGATTTTGACCCTGATCAAACTCCATGTTTTTGTTGGTTTTCTAAGTGAAAGTAAGTTAACACATCCTATACAGAAAACATTCTTTACTGAATTTAACATTTTGGAAAAATACATGTTATGTAGCCTGAGAAGAAGTTATGGCACATTTTATATTTTATGTCCCCCCAATATTTACATTGTCTAATAAATAGAACATGCAGAAAAATGGCATATGTTTGTTCTCTGTAGTGGATGCGTTAATTTATTTTGCTTAGAAAATCAACAAAACATGCCATTTCATCAGGCTGCCTAAACGTTTGCACAAAACTGTATTACAACCTTTAGAACTTATGCGTGTCTTCAAATACAACTTTTGAAAAGCAGCATTTAGCTAATGACTTTTGTCATTATGTTCATATAAAAAGCAGAAAGTTTGGCTTGAATTTAGAATTTAGAAATTAGAATTTTCCTTAGCAATACCTTTGTATGTTCTCAAGTAATGAGTATTACAGGAGTAGTTGGGCAAAAATACAAACGTTCACTCACACAAGCGAGTCTATTTGAGATTACTCCGTAAGTCAATGGCTTGAGGCAACTATGTGATGATTTAGGTATTTGGTTTGCACAATACTGTAAGCTTTTATTATTTGTTAGCTACATTAGCTACCTGTAGCTCCAGTCCAAACCAAAGAAGCAAACGTCAGACCAAACATGTCTTGGCTGATCATCTACATTTGAGATAACAGGGGGAAATTGTCAAGATCTGATTTTTTGCCAAGCCATTCAATCATAATTTTTTATTTAATCAACAAAAGAACTTTCAGGACCCTGTGCTGTTACTGCAAAATATCTCACCTGCCTGAGCTTCTCCATTTCACGATAAGGCAACTTTTGATAATCAATGTTATTAGCGATCATCCGGGTTTTGATTCTGTGGACTTCTTTGGCATCCTGGAAGAGTAGCCGAAATCCTACAGAGAACATGAGCCACAATTAAACTCAGAGGGAAAAACTGTTTAAATGCTTCCAAAAACCTCCACTGCAAAAAACATTTTCAACTTAAATGTAAATTAAAAGGGAATTCCACCAACTATTCAAAATTTAAACAAAATCTTTGGTAAAAAAATAATTCACTGGGAATTGATAATGATAAAAAAAAGTGGTACAAATAGGTTTTTCATTATTAACATTACATATAGATATGTTTCTGTGCAACATCATCACAGAGATTTGTGCCCGACTATGGGGCAAAAAGCAACAATGACAAGGTGCTCTATTTATCTCTTGCACATAACCACAAAGTACATAATATGCATCTAATTTGTATGGATGCAGATTTTACTTTGTATAAACACTGGGCATTTGTAAAAGATCACTATATATACTGAGCCATGTGATTGCTAGCCACTTCGACATATCTGAAATTCATTTGTGGTCACAAATAGTATAGGGATCTGGACATTTCTCACCATTACTGAGAAGTAATTTACTCCGGTAATCGGCGCAGTCTGAGCTACTTTGGCTTCCAAAGTAATCTGTGCCAGCTATTTCCTCACTGTCCCACACCTAACAAGCTGTCATGTGTCTCGTGTCTTGTATAGCCGCCTATATACGCTCAGATGACACGTGTAGATTCAACTGGTGCTTTTGGATTGTAAATAAAATGGCTAGATTTTTGTTGTGGACAAAACCCCTGGTTCCTATGCCCCACCACTTTTTAGAAATCTGAGTTTGTAAGTTTCTCTACAGTGAACCATTTCACATCAAAACTTTTTGAATGACTTTGTTTACATCTCAACTAAATTATGCAGAAATTTTGAAACATTGGTGGAATTCCCCTTTTATGTAACAAGATTTTATTCCAAGTAATTCTGGGCCATTTCCACTGGTCCATTCATCATGAAATGTCCACACAATGTAAAAGGCAGCTGCCGCTTTCAAATAGCGTTTTAAAAAAGAAAGAGTAAAAAAAAAAAGGTTTTGATGCAAAAGCAGCATTATGACCCTTTAAGGACACCTTCTATAAGAATTAACCTCTTGCTGAATATCATGGTTAGAGTGTATTTGGTTTAAGCTTTAAAAAAATCTAATTTTCAAAAATCCTGCTGTATAAAGAGGATATATGCATTAATACTTGGAATACAAGCGTAACAGGATGACAGATAATCTCACCTTTCATAAATGTCTGGTACAGAAGATAGAAACGAGGAAAGCGCCGCTGGAGAAATCTCTCGTACTTTTCATTGGCCCATTTCAGCCTTGACACGATGTTTCGGCCGATGCCGTGCCTCGCTTGGGAGGGTGAATACTGCCTCACTAAACATAACCTATGGAGAACAATGAGAAACAGCCCATTAACATATCACTGCATGAATGTTATGAACATCACAGACATAAAGAGAAAACATTAGTGATTGTTGTCTAACTTGTCCTCCCTCCTTCATGAGCAGCCTTGGGCGCTCCACCCAGAGAACCACACATATTCACAAATCAGCTCCAGCCCTAATCTAACCAGCTGTGAGCTCTTGGCTGGTGCATTTTGTGTTGCTTTCCTTAAGTACTTTTTGAGTAACTGTACTTTAATGCAGACAAAACTAGTTTATTATATCTGGGGAAAAAAAACAGATATATCGCACATTTTACTAAACCCGTCCCTTAAATGAAAATTAAACTGATTTTCCAAAATTAAGCGGTTAAGATGTAAACAAAGTCATTCAAAGTTTGATGTGAAATCCTTCTTACTAGAGAAACTTGCTGAGTCAGAATTGTTCAAAATGGTGGTGATAGGAACCAGACATCCACCTGCAAAGCCCCATTACAGAAAGTTATTACACGAAATGGCTATGAATATGCTGCCTGATGTCTGACACATTATTTTATGATAGTTTTAATCCTTTCATGGCAGAGGGATACATACAGGGCACTGTTTGGATTGGAAATAAAATGGCCAATAAAATAAAATGGCTATATTTGTGACGTAGACATCATGACCCCAGGTTCCTATCAGCACCACTGTAAAGAAGTCTGAGTCTGGAAGTTTCTCTACAATGAACCATTTCACATCAGACCACTCTGAATGACTCTGTCTACATCTCAAGGACTGAACTGTTCAGAAATATTTTTAATGGTGAAATTCCTCTTTAAGCTGTAAAGAATAACCACCCTCTCACTACCATCCTTTTATTCAAAATAAAGACAGTGATATGATAACAACTCAAGACAAAACCTAGGAAGAAGTGCAAAACAAAGAGGATCTATAAGGAAAATGATCATTCTCATGCTATCGACACCTGTCATCTGATAACATCAGAATACAGCAGAGCAGAGCAGAACATAAAGCCCCGGCACAGCAACTAAACACGTCTAAACTAGCTTACGTTTCATAGGGTCGACAACGAGCAGACTTTCTTTGATAAGCAGTTTACCTTACTTGCGTAGCGGCCAGTTTAGGACTGTAAAGGTCTGCTGTGACCGCAGTCGCTCTTATTCCACACAGAAAAGTCACTGAGACCCTATGGCACATACTCATGTAGGACGGCGCCATTTTGCAAAAGAACTGCAGTCAACTCGGTGTGGGCGTGGTTTATAAGCGGAATGCAAACGGGCGTGGTTATGTCTCAAAACCACGCCCTTGTTATAGTGATGCTTGTTTCGAAACTCAAAGAAGCGATTTGATTGGATAATGTTCCTCAATCCATTTTCTGTTAAGGAATTACAACAACAAAACAAACAGTATTTAAAGTAGGCTATAATAATATAAAAAACAGGTCCAGAAGATAACTTTTGCACATAAAAAAAGCATACAGTCTTCAGTAAAGTCATCAATTTTTTAAAATTTCCACATAATTTATTCTTTGAGTGGTTTGATGTGAAATGGTTCACTGTAGAGCAATTTAACAACTTTTTTTTACAGTGGTGGTGATAGGAACCAGGGGTCTCAACACAAATATAGCCATTTTATTTACTATCCAAAATGACCAGTGAACTTATATTTGTCTTCTGAGTCTTCGTTTATAATGTTGATAGTGGTAAAATAGTGGTAAACCTGAAAAATAAGAATTCTTTGGGGGCTATTTTACCCTGCTTGTACTTGCTCCTCCACCGTGAAAATATATTTTTTTAAATATATCATCTCAAAATAATGTCTCAGGCATCTGGCAATATAATAGCTTTGTATGAGGAAACTTCTGAAGGCATTATTACATTAGACGCTTCAGATGTTTAGTTCCTATCACCACCACTGTGAACAATTCTGGCTCAGCAAGTTTTTCTAGAATAGAAAATGTTACATCAAACCACTCTTAATGACTTTGTTTACATCCTAACCATTTAAAAATCTTAGGAATTAAAGATAACCTGAAATCAAATCTATATTGTTAGCTCATGTCCCTGGTCATACTAAGCATGACTGATCATACCACACCATTTAAAAGCAAAACGTAGCTAGGTCATAAATATACACACATAGACGCAGCATTGCACGCCAATAGTCCAGCCAGGCATGTCAACGCTGGTGGACTGCGTTCAGTACCATAATAAAGCGGCAGTTTAAGAAGGTACTGTCCAAAATTATACTATTTCAAGAACACCGCACCCAGAATGTGGGATATAGGACGCAGAGAGAGCGCAGTGATCCACACTCACTTGGTGTTTACTGTTTGTATTGTGTTCATGTGGCGGTGTGGTTGGCGAAGCACAGAGAACCTGTTGTTGTGATTGGATCGGAGCCGTTTGGGATTCAGCTTGGATTTGATGCTACTTTAAAACAAATCTGACGAAACCACGGACATTTGAATCGTTAAGTTACATTCTTTAAACGGATTGTAAGTACTTTAATTGTGATATTAATGATGGAGTTGTTTGTTATCTTTTAGCCTGTTAGCTAGCTAACCAGCCCAGTTCTAGTTAATAAACCCATAGTTTATAAGTTGTCAGCTCGTCAGTTTAAACAAAAACGGGCTCTCACTTCATCAATACACTCAAAGGGCTGTGCAAACAGCACTGCAGTGACGTCATCACAGATTATTCCATTAACGGTAAAAGGATTTTTGTGACGTGGCGCAGTAATACAGAATTCAGATGTTGTGATGCGGTCGGCTTCGACCGCGGTTTAGCCAATCAGATTTTAGGGCCGGAACTATGTTTTTTTATAATCTGCGTTTTAGCCCGAGTTAGTTTGTTAAGTGTTCGTGCCGGTAGTGAAGCCCGCGAGGAAGAAAAACTCTCGAATATCAATGTAGCTTCGTGTTTCAGCGCGTTGAGGTTGCTTTCTTTTTTGATATTTGGGTGTTCACTAAAAGTTTGGTGGTCACATTTTTTCACGGTAGCTAAGAAGGCCGAGAAAAATGTCCACCATAAGATACGGTACCAGCCTCGGTCCTGCAGCAGTTACCTCTGTAGGAGAGTCTCTGCGAAATGGGGACGAAGACACAGGTAAGAGAGCTGAAGTGGGCACAGGAGAACTTTTATAAAAGTGCTGTTCAAAAAGTGCTTTAGTCTAAAACTTGTTCAGGTAGAAGCAGCTAGCTACCAAACCCAGCTCAGGTAAGCAAGATCCAGAAAGTCAAAAACAAAAAGCAAAAAACAAGAGTACATTCATCTGTCAGCATAAAAGACTAAAGAAAAAAACGATAGTCTTTTTTTTTTTGGTGGGGTCTTGGTTTAATATGAAGTGTTGAAACTCCACAGTAAGCAGCAGAAACAGTCTTGGCACAGTCCTTAACAGAACATAAAGAAATCAAGCCCAGAATATGAATTGGGAAGTAAATGTGAAGGATGATAATGGAAGTAAGTAGATTAAATATACTTGGCTAGAAGGAAAAACTATCATTTGAAAATACTGTGCAGTTTCCCTTAAAATGTCTCTTTAAATAGATGGGACTGAGCAAAAGGAACCCCACTTATTGCCAACATCCAATTTTGAAACCATTTTTGAAGAGGTTTACCTGCTCATCATTGACTGTGCATGACTTTTGTTACTACCAAGTGTACGGAAATAAGCTTTTAGTTGCCTGGAATAAAGCAGACGTTCTGTATGCTCTTTCTAACTTTTGTAGTGAAGCCAGATGATCCCAGTGATCCCAACAAGTTGCTGCAGTGCCCTTATGACAAGAATCACCAGATTCGCGCCTGCCGCTTCCCTTATCATCTTCTCAAGTGCAGAAAGGTTAGCGCCTGCTTAACTGTGGGTTTAAGTAACTCAGAATCACCAAATCAAAAAGGTTCACCCTACGTTAGCCTGGAAGTGTGCTACCTCCCAGTTTATTTGGTATCTGTTTTATGAGGTATACCTACCATACAGTTTCCGATGCCCTGACACAAAATCCACTAATATGACACCATAATGTTGATCACAGCTGTGCTAAAAATGGCCCATCCAAGTAATATCTGGTGGTATTATGTTAGTCTACTTGTAGTGATAAATGGGTTAAAAGTTGCAACACTTATGCTCTTTTTGTAATGAAACGTTCAGTTGTTTAGTTTTCAAGCACTGGAGATAGACTTTTATGAGTATACTGTGCATATTATGACACATTTGATCACCATAAAATCACATTGCCTACAAATTAGCCGGTGATTATAGGTACAAGGCAGATGTGCTTTATAAAGCAAAGAGCTGCAAGTTTTTTTTGTTTTGTTTTGTTTTTAAACAAATAAACCTTTTCAGAATCATCCCAAATTAGCGAGTGAACTGAAGACATGTCCCTTCAATGCAAAACACCTGATGCCCAAACATGAGCTGTCCCATCATATTGAAAACTGTGAGGATAGACGCTTGATCACTATTGAGGATGGTAAGATTTCTCTCGCTCCTCTCAAAATATTGTCATTATATTTTGACCACGAGCTCTGTCGATGCTACATGCGTGCAGCTTGTGTTATTTACCTCCGTCTATACAACACTGTGTTGTAGAGGCCAACATGGAGATACAGAGGAAATTTCAAGTCCCAGTCAGTACCTGGACAAACCCTGTGACTGAGGAGGACTGGGATAAAGGTCAGTGCTCTGTTCTGCGAGTGCTACAGGGTCAGTAGTCTCCCTGTGTCTGTTGTACCTGATTAAATGTGACCCATACATGCTTGCAGGTGTAACATAGATAATGGCGAATGTTTGTGTGTTGCAGAGGCTGATGACCACGCTGCTACTTTTGTGTGGGGAGTGTCAACTAATCAGCTCGTCCAAAATAAGTGAGTCAGCTTTTGTTTATGCAAATCGGCATGCCTTAGTCAAAGTAGTGTGACGCAGAGGTCGGAATTTAGTGAGATTAGAAACGGTTATTCTGTGAACATGTGTATATAATGTATAACAAGTAATGGAAGCTTATTTATTTTTTGTCTGAGTTTGAATTTTTTTTTATCATAATCTTTAGCAGTTTCAGTGGTTAAAAAATTGCTGTGCTCTACTTTGTCTTTATTTTTATTTTTTCTTTTCTCAGGCCTGAGCCAAGAACCACTAACAATTTGACCCCAGGGCTCCGTGCACCTCGAACGCTCCCGTGGAAACTCTGTGAGTTCTGAGATCAGCTTTAACCTTATTAATAAAAATCGTTAGGATGTACAGGGGCTTGTATCAACTTTAAGCTGAAGTCAGGCGTACGCTAAACGATTGTTGGTCCAATTTTACCACGATTCCCCCTTGATCAGAATCAATTGAGCACATAGATAATCTAGTAGTGTGAGAGGGAAAACTAGATAATCGAGTATTTTCAAACCTTATGACTCAAAACGTTCAGGAATCCTGTAGTGTGAGATGATTATTACCTAACAGAACAGGTGATTCTGGCAACAGAACAAATCAGAACATTTGTTTTGGACATAGCAGGTTTGGAATGCAGGCTTACAAATACCAGCACTGACATTAGGAGCAGCTAGTCTGTAACTGTACATTTGGCTGTATTATATGCTTTAAACTGTTGTAAGATTACCAAACAAGCAATTATAGTTGAATATAAACAGTTATAAACTGTTATATATTATATTATAAGTCGAATGTAAACAGTTTGGGCACCCCTGGTCTAATGTCATGTTTTGTTGATTTTACTGTTTATTTACTGAATTTAATATACTGGGGGAATAAATTTAAAGGTTAAATGTGAAGGCTACAGTCTTGTGCCCACAGCTGCAGATGGTGTTAGAATGTTTGGGTGCACTAGATGGCAGCAGTGGTCTTGACTGACTTTAGTTTAAGATGTGCAGGTTGAATGTATTGCATGCTTGTATTGTTGCCTTGCCTTGGGCAAACATGTCGAAAGCAATCAGTTTTTAATTGATGCTTGTTTATATTTTATTCATAGTATTGTCTGATCCTTTTGACAGGAAAGAAACACTCCCTGTGTATTTGTGGACTGTCTGTTCACTCATCACTGATGCGACTGAAGAATTCTTATTAGTAAAGTTTTAAATTCACCTTGCATGCCTTGTAACTTCACTTTGTGTTTGAAATGGACTTTCTTTTAACGAATGCTGGTTTTGGTGTGGCTGTTTTGTACATTTTCAAAAACTCTCTTCTTAACATATTAATCCTGTTTTGTTTTAAAACTGAACCTGTGTGGAGTCCTATATCCTCATTTTGCTGCCTGCTGCTTTGATCAGTGGTATTGTGACAACAGGCCAGAGTAAATTGTGGAAACAGTACATTTAACGATGAATCTTGCCTTAAATGAAGCTTTAAGTGTGACATCTCTGCTGTGGGGAAACACACATTTGTGACAAATGCACTACCCTTATGTTTGTGTAAGGTGGTATCAGTTTCTTATTCCAATAAACACAGGAAATTTGGCATAACATTTAGCGTCTTACTGATAATTTTGAATCTGTGCCCAGATTGTATATTTACAAAACAGGTAAAGGGGTGTGTGTGTGTGTGTGTGTGTGTGTGTGTGTGTGTGTGTGTGTGTATTTTTATTTGTATTTGTATGTATATGTATGAGTGCATATATACGAAAGATAAAACATAAGATATTGCCTTAATTTAATACAGGTCAAACAGAGTGTGTGTGTGTATACACACACACACACACACACACACACACACACACACACACACACACACACACACACACACACACACACACACACAATAAATCATTCTTAACTTTGTAAGTTGATGTAAGGAGGTTTTATTACAAGTGATATTAGATATTTTAAAATATATATTAGAAAGTTTGTATACCAGTTTGTTTATATATATATATATATATATATATATATATATATATATATATATATATATATATATATATATATATATATATATATATATATATATATATATGCACACACGCGCGCGCACACGCGCGCGCGCACACACACACACACACACACACACACACACACACACACATATATACCAGGAGTGGAGGAGAGCCTATCTGGCCCTGCTGTATTCGATATAGTTATGTGCAATATGTAAAATAATAAGGAAAAGAAGAAAAGAATTAGCATAGTTACTTTTAATGCCTTTTTGCTGCTAGTGAAATATGAAAACTACTGGTAAACTGTCTGCCAATTTATCAAACCTCAGGGACAAATTCTGGAAATATTTTAGAGTACCGTGATTTATTTCTAATATTGCCTGTTCCTCCTAGTCACACTGCTATGTTTAAATCCTGGTTGTATAGTGTGGTGTTTTTGGCTTGAATGCAATCTAACTTCTCCGTGCTCTGCCTGTAACTGTGTTTTGTTTCTGTAGTAGTAAAAGTTGCTAGGTTTAATAAGCTTTACAGAACGTTGACACTCATTAAACCTAATGAGAAATTGTAGCACACAATGCAGTTATGGTCAAAATGTGGAAATACAGATTTAATTTCAAATTCATTGTTGGTATAGATCAGGCCACCATTGCCATGGCAACTTGAGCTGCACATCCTAGCTGCTCCAGGGCAAGTTCAGTATATGATTTCAGATCATAAACAGCTCTTGGTGAGCTTCTGACCAATCACTGACAGTCTTCTGATGGAGGTGCACTTCTCTGGTCTTTTTCAGGTCATTTTTTGTAATGTTTGTGGTGTGAAAATATAGCTTTTCAGTGGAGTAAACAAATGATACTACCTGGTTATCGAGAATATAAAGCAAATATCATTCCAGTAAGCGGTAGCACGGTGGCAAGGGCAAGAGTGTTGCTTTTGACCAAAAGTAAATCTTGTATTTTCTCCATATTATGTAGTATAATTTCTAGCAGCCCAGGGATTAGTCCTAGTTTTAGTGTGTAATCCTGGGTTAACAGAGAATGATGTAAACTGTAGTCATGAAACGAGTAAGTTAGTTAATGTGGCTGCATTTGTTAGGGAACCATGTTGACCTCTCTTCTTGAGACAGGCCGGTGGTGGTGGTGGTGTGTTTGTTTGTTTAAAATCCTCCCTAATCGAATTGCCTTTAGTTGATCTACGTGAAAATAAGTTATCACATCCTCTACAGAGAACACACTTGGACCAAAACTGGAAGAAACGACGTTTTAACTGATTTACAACAACAAAAACCATTCTTGAACGTTTTTTTCACCAGTGTTCTGTACAGCTTATCCAACCTAACACCCGTTTCTATAAAGGGACGCCCATGTGGGTGGAGCATAGACAGGTCAATTGTTCTCAGAGGCAGGGAGATTTCTGCAAGACCTCTTCAATCCCCCCCAAATTTTGAGTAATAAATCGATGCAACCGGACTTGTCTCTGGTCATAGTGCACGTTATTGTACCGATTACTGCTCTGAGCACACTGAGCCGTGCAGCTGGCTCAAAGAATGCAGCGTAGGTTGGTAGCTTGGAGGAGGCAGAAGGGAGAAAATGGCTCCAGTTTATTTTGTTCTGGAACAGAACTGGCAGTATACTTTAAACAAGTATATAAAAAGTACAAATTTGGCCAAAAGGACGTTGTGGTTTTAGTTTGTACAGTGTGGTTGCGCGCTGCTTGCTTGACAGAAGTTACAATACATCTAAAAATGCTTTTCTGAGCAAATCATAGATATAAATCAGTACATATAAATCATCCCAACTGCGTGTTTGATTACAAAGAAAGTATGATGGCTGCTAACTCACTCACCATAGCAGAATTCATGCTAGATTCAGTAGCAACACAATGTTTGGTTTAACAGTTCTTCTTATGGAAATGCTCTTTTTTAGATCTTGTTATCTCCTCTTTCATCTTTGGTTTGAGAGATGAGTAACAATTCACTCTTTCCACCAAACTTGTGAAATTGGGCAAGTTTTTAGATTTACAGATCTGCTGTGGCATATTGTGAAGTTTTTCAGAGGCATCCCAGGAATAGTTACAGTCTCTAGACTAGGGATGTCAAACTCAACCACTAAAGGGGCCATATTAAAAATCTCATCAAATCTGTGGGCCAGAGAAAAAAATGTTTTTTATTTCATTTTTAATTAATGTTGTGCTATTACCTGAACTGGCCATTATTTATTTAAAAAAAAAAACGCAAAAACCTTAGCAATAAAATATAGGCACTAGTAGTAAACCTTGAAATATAATGTGAATACCTAAAATATTCAAAATTAAATGTCCCCAGGAGCTCAGTCTTTTAAACCTGCCCATTTGCTTGAATTAGACAATCGGACATCCTTTCTTTGCTGCATGTTCATTATTTCTTGGGCTCAATTTCTGCGTGTCTAGTGATATGTCAGGTGTGGAATTGCATAGATGTGTATAGAATTGAGGTGTCCCATAGATTGTTGTTGGGGTAGGAGAGTCAAGGCCTACATTACGTTGCAGTGCATGCTGGGGACTGTAGTGCAGTGCATTGTAAAACGAGCTAAAATAAAATACTTTTGCAGGCCAGATAGGATTGTGTCCCGCAGGCCTTGTGTTTGACACATGGGCTCTAGGCTATGAAGGACCAGCTGGGTGAACCAGCTTACTATAGGGCCACCCGGAGGCAGACCAGTGCTGCATCTCTAGTGAGTTAAGACAGACCATACCAAAGACAGAAGCTCGCTGATTGTGGGTGAAGCTGGCTAAAGCTTTCCATGAATTTGTATATGAGCTTCTTTTTTCCCTAGTGGTCAGCATAACGTAATAGCTTTATTTTCAGACACCCTCCAGAATTTTGATTTTGAGAGATTCAGGAGGTCCAAGAGGTTAATTAGGAAGCCCTGGACCCCCCATGACCCCTGTGTTTCACACCTTGTTTTTCTATGGCAAAATGTTCATTCATAGCTACTGTGCTTGTATGATTGCAAACTGTATGTTTCAAAGTTTCAGCTTGAAGTGATTTTTAATCTGTTCTCTAAAATTTTCCTATATTGAAGTGAATGGGGATTCAGAATGTTTTTAAAGCAAGCTTCAGATGTGTAGATTTGCACCTTCTTTCCCCATAGGTGCACTTTGTAGCTTTACAGTTGCTGACTGTAGCCCATCTGTTGCCTCACATTTGTTCACGCCTTTACCCTGTCCATTACTGGAAAGGGACCACCTTAGGACCTTAAGTGCCACATGTGATACTGATATGGATGAAGGACTGAAGAATCAATAACAATCTGCTTGGAAAAAAATTAGGTGTAGAGTCTAATTATGCCTGCAAGGTGGAGCAACAGGGCCAGTGTTTCTAATAAAGTGGCCTCTTTATTTCTCACCCAATCTAATGTAATAAAAGTGATGTCTCTTCTCCCTGCATGAGGAGCAATGTGAGAATTTTCTGTTCCACTTTTACTGTCACACTGGCTGACTTAGGCCACTGCAATGGTGGGCCTCTGTAAACCCCACATCACTGTCAATATGAATTGAGTATGAGTTAGTGTGGCACAGCCACAGGTCAGCCCCCTTCGCCTCGTCTTTCCTGCCTCATTTAACCCGCGCGGACAGCTGGCCGCACCAGCTGGCCCCTACTGGCTGTGCTGACAACAGATTTGTGCAAGTGTATATGAGTCTCAGCAACATTTACC